TCTGTAACATTAGTGAGGGCATGCTTGGTAGGGATCAGCTCCGACAAGGAGAATTTGAAATTTAACTTTTCTTTTCATCATGAGGTAAGTCTGTATGAGTAAATCTTTATATATTGGATGTTGTTCCTTGACTAGTAACCTATGAGTTCAGTTAATTATGGAAGTACAAGCAAAATGCTCTTCAGTCTTAATACACGAAGATGAAAGGGTGCTACGGGCAAATTAATGTCTTACTAGAAGAAGGGTTTGTCTTATTATTTGAAAATGTCAAACTACATTTAAAAGCTGTGAAATAAATAGAAAAGTTTATTCTGCAAGGAAAGATAAGGTTTCTTAAATGTTTGTAGTTTTTAATATGGGAAACAGGGTTACATAAAGAGAATAGTATATATATTAATACTATTAGATACATTATGTGTTATAAATACATGAATACATATAAATGCATGAATATATATGAAGTTGGCACCACACAAGAGTCATGATTTGTAATAATGAAGCCTTTAAACTTCAGCTTCTAGGGCTTCCGTGATGGCTCAGTGGTAAAGAATCCACTTGCCAATGCAGGAGACGGGGTTTGATTCCTGATCCAGGAAGATCACACATGCCATGGAGCAACTAAGCCCGGGAGCCACAACTACTGAAGCCCTAGGGCCTGTGCTCCACAACAAGAGAAGAACTCCTGTGAGAAGTCTGCACCTCACAACTAGACAGCAGCCCCTGCTTGCAGAAACTACAGAAAAGCCAGCACAGCAACAGAGACCCAGTACAGCCAAAAATAAATTAATAAATAAATTAATTAATTAAACTTCAGCTTTTAAGCAAGTCAATTTATTATAAATTGTAGACTGGCAATTTTAAATACCTATTATACTTGCTATTAATGAACATATAGCAATGAAAGATAGTTTTGTATCATTGTGCCTCTTTTGAATATAACTAGAAGCTAACTTTGAATTCATTTAATTATTTCACCAAAGCAATTCAATTGTTTCTTTTTAAAATGTTTGAAAGTATCTTTTTACTTCATAATTAATAAAATGAAATCTAACAGATGTGCGATAGATGATTGTAGTGGATGACATCCATTTTCAGGACTGATCCCCTCTGTTGGGAGTGTTGATAGTGAAGGCTCCCAGACTCTCCCTCCAGAAATTGCCCTCAGTTGAGACGAGCTGACTTGACCCAGGTCATACAAGTTGGTGAGGGTGAACAGAAAAGAAAGGGGCCACATCCACGGACTAGTCAATGTTGGGGATAAAGGTCCGCTCACTCCTGTGCCTCACAGTGGGACAGCTCTGGAGGGCCATCCTAACTCCAGTGTCCCCTATGGCATCGTCTTTTGTTGTACCTGAACTGCAGTTCAATTTCTCCCTCTGCCCAAGTCTATTCCTTCACAGATATTGTTCCAGAGAATACTCGTTAATATATTACCTGCATGCATGTCTCCATCTCAGAGTCTACTTCATAGAGAACCCACTAAGACAAAGAAAAAAAATCCCTTTAGACATGCTTAGAGAGGAATGATTAATAGAGAGCAATGATGGTTATAATGGTCTTAATTGATCAAAATTTATTAAACATCTTTGATGTTCTAGGCATTGTGCTGAGCACTGAAGATATACAGTTAAGCAAAGCTGAATTAAGCAAAATGAATCTCAAGGAACTCATTGGCCTGAAACACAGACATTACAACAAGTGAATATAATTCAAAGGAGACAAGCCCGACATTAACAGGATGGATGTACTGGTCTGAAAGGTTTGAGAAAGGAACCCCTATCATTCTGGAGACTGATGAGGCAAGAATGACTTCACTAAAGACAACTGAAAAATCCTTCAACAAGCTCAGGCCTTCTGAATCATTCTTTCTCTCACGTTCCACATCCAACCTTTCTCTTTCTCAAAAAAAAAAAAAATACCCCACTACCTCTGCCTTTAAATAAATCTAGAATCTAGGTCTCGCCCGTGCCACAGCTTCTAATCCAGGCTGCCCTAACACCTCTCACAGCTGCGGCCTCCTAACTGGGCTCTCTTGCATCTGCTTTTGCTTCTCACGATCGTTTCCCAACAGAGTAGTCAGGTGTTCTGCTAAAATGGAAGTTAGGGCATGAACGCCTCTGCAGAAAACATTCCAAAGTTCCCATTTCATACTGAGAACCAAAGGAGTTACACCCACAGGGCCTAGACCATCTCCACACTGCCCTTCCTGTCCTTACCATTCTCAACTCATCTAGGAGGCTCCTCTCCCTCACCCTCGTCCAGCCATTGTGGCCAATTCAGTCTTCATGGCACCAGCAAACATTCCTGCTTCAGGGCATTTGCATTTATGCCACTCCCTGTCCCCTCTGCCTGACTCCCCCTCTCCCTTTCTTCAGGTTGCTTCAACTGCCAGCTTCTTCTGAAGGCCTTTTCTGACCACTGTCCCCAGCACAGCATACCCCCTCCCCCCACTATCTTTCTTCATAACACTTACCATCTGCTCTGTTACTGATTATTTACTTCATTAAGAGTGTGCCCTGAATTTCCTGGTGGTTCAGGGGTAGAGAATAATGTAGGTAAAGCCTGTAATGTAGGAGATGTGGGTTCAATCCTTGGGTCAGGAAGACACCTGGAGAAGGGAATGCTAACCCATTCCAATATTTTTGCCTGGAGAATCTCATGGACAGAGGAGCCTGATGGGCTATGGTCCATAGGGTCGCAAAGAGTCAGACACAACTTAGCGACTAAACAACAACAACTTGTTCAGAGTCACAAGCCTCTTGAGGGCAGGGATCATTACGTGTTTTGATTCTGGCTCCATACCAAATACCTAAAATTATTTCAATAAGAGAGTAAATGCTTAGTAAATATTTGTTGAGTAAGTGAATTTTTACAAATAATGAAAGGAAGTAAAAGAAAGGTAAAGTGCTTCAGGATGAATAACAGCTGGAAACAAAGAAATGGAAATATTTCTAATCTAGTGTGACTAGATCAGAGACATTCTTTATAGTCAGAGCTAGAAACTTAGGTTACATTATGTAGACAATGAAATATGGTTGTTGTGGGCTGAAATGTATCCCCCCTCTAAAATTCACAAGTTGACATCTCAGCACCCAGTATACCTCAAAAGGTATTTGGAGCTATGACCTTTAAAGAGGTGGTTAAGTTAAAATGAGATCATTTGGGTGGCCTTAACCTCATATGACTGGCATCCTTATAAGAAGAGAAATCTGCAGACAGTTACAGAAGGAAGATCATGTGAAGACATGGAGAAGATGACCATCTATCAGCCAAGGAGAGGGGCTGCAGCAGAAACCAATATTGCCAGCACCTTGATCTTGGACTCCAGCCTCCAGAACTGTGAGAAAATAAATTCCTCTTGTTTAAACCAAAAGTTGGTAGAATTTTGTTACAGCAGCTCTAGTAAACAAATACAGTGATCTATACCATTGTAGGAAATTTTGACTTTATCTCAGAAGCCATTATGAAATTTTAAGCAGGGATGGAGGTGAGCTGAGGTAAGACCTGAGTTTTAGGAATCTTCCAGAATCTTGCATTTGTGGTAATATGGAGGAAGGGCTGGAAAAGGTGAAAGACTAGAATCATGGAGACTAACTGCTACGTGATTGTAATGGTTGGGATCTAGATCAAGCAGAACGGAAAGAACAGGCAGGAACAGGAATTGTGGGAAGCATCGGAGCCAAAACTGTTTGAACTTGGTGACTTCCCAGGTGGCTCAGTGGTCAAGAGTCTGAATCTGCCTGCCAATGCAGGAGATGCAAGAGATGGGAGTTTGATTCCTAGGTCAGGAAGATCCCCTGGAGGAGAAAATGGGAACCCATTCCAATATTCTTGCCTGGGAAATCCCATGGACAGAGGATCCTGGTGGGCTATAGTCTGAGCATGCTTGACTGAGCATATGACATTGAGCAGGCATGCACACAGTGACATATTAGAGGCAAGTGACACTGATGTCAATGCAAATTGAAATTTAATAAACTGCAGACATGCAAGGGGCTTCCCAGTTGGCTCTAGTGGTAAAGAACCTGCATGCCAATGCAGTAGATGTAAGACACAAGAGTTCGATCCCTAGGTTGGGAAGATCCCCTGGAGGAGGGCATGGTGACTCACTTCAGTATTCTTGCCTGGAGAACCCCATGGATGAGGAGTCTGGTGGGCTACAGTCCATGGGGTCTCACAGAGTCAGATACAACAGAAGCAACTTAGCATACATGCTGGAACAGACATGCCAAGGAATTCAGACAGTAAAATTTACATGGGTTTCAGTGGTCTCACACTTGAGGAAATTTCTCGGTACGGAAGCTTCAGACATTAAAGCAGCATTCATGCTGTTCAAGGTATGAACAGTACTCACTGAGAAAAGGGTCTGCAGAAGGAGCTGCAGGCAACATCTCCTCCTTGGGCATAATATGCACATTGGCATATTAAAGAATCTGGAAAGTTTTGCAATGAAGGAACTTCTTTAACTTTGTCCAAAAAAGTATTTCCCACATTTACTGATTATGGAACCCTTTTAACCTCTCTCTGAACGTATATTAGAAATATCTCCCTGAAATACTCTAGAAATTAATACAGTTTGGAAAATAGTGGTGTTTTTTTGATCCATTAGAACAGTTCTAAAATAAATAGAGAAGCTTTGCCGGGCAATTTCTATTTCTAATAGCAAAACTAGTCAACAATGTCCTAACAAATTGGCAGAATAAACTCATTAAAGGAATGTAGTTGTTTTCCTATAGCCTAATTACTATTAGATTAAAAAAGAACATTCAGTCTTTTGAAAGTGGCACTAATTCTTTCACATCCCTAAAGGAACATTACTCAGTGCCTCGAAACAAAAAATGAAATGATATTCTGATGACTTAAGGGGAAAGTGTAGCTCAAATGCAGAAGTCTGGGAGCAGTTTTCAACCAGGGTTCTTCGACACCAGAGCAGGTGTGGTCAAGTTTTTCCATATTCCATTAGCTTCTGTAACCCACAATGCCCCTGCATAGTGACTCACATGCGATGCGCACGTAGGCTTTCCGGCTCTTGGTGGTGCCTGCCGAGCTCCAGGCCACACATTGGCACCAGTAATCTTCAGGCCCAAAGAGTTCTTCCACTTGCTGGCGTGAAATCTCAATGCTCACTTCCCGGACAATGAGACCTGCCAAGGCAAAGAAAGATTTAAGTCAGGAGAAGACTTGCACTAACAAAATACAAAACATCATACCTAATTTTTCCGCCAGTGATCCTTCTTAATGCCATGGACCAACAAATCACATATTACCTCTCATCTCCTCTAACTTCTTTCTAGCTCCAGTTACTTGATTCACAGCTGTCTCGTTCTCTTATTTGCTATTTGAAATCTTCTGGATTCATCAGAAGATGAAAGTGAATTAGACCTATCCACAAAAATCCTTTCCCCTTATTACCTAATATTCACCCACCACCAAGTTATCTTTCTCTGTGTATTCAAACATGAACTTGAATTTAACATCTTCTAAGGATTCTACCTTAATTATACAGGTTGTGTGTAAGATACCCATGTGCTAGGTTTACCTAATTCTTTACATAAAATGAGAGAGAATGACATAAAACAATAATCATAGGTATATAAATCATTAATATGCCTATTTATATACACAACTATATATATTTAGGTTTTATTATTATATGATCTAGTACTTTATAAATATATGGTGATTTTTTAAAAAACTAAGTCATTTTAAATGGCTTCACTTATAATTAAGGCACATTGTTTTTTCTTGAAAGAAATATTAGCCTTAGTTAAAAAACCTCTGCTGTTCTAGCCAGAGAATGAATGACTTTAAAGTTTTCATGAATTTTTGAAAGCCCAAATGTTTCTCTTTAATAACAATGTAACCAAAATCCTATGAAAAATAAGGTGAATTCCAGTTAAAATGCTCAAATAATTGGAATTTATTTCACAACATTATATAATCCTAAAATAATAAAACTTGATCTTGAGGCTGGGATTATCATTTTAAGGGTATTTATCTTGTGATACCAAAGTCTAGTTCAGAGATTCATCCTGAAATATGCCTCTTTGCATCGAGCAAGAAAAATTAAATTAACCTGAACAATCTAAGTGGGTAACTGCCACTTTTCTTGCACACACTTCTAGCATGGAGTGTCTTTGAGAGAACAGGAAGGGACACCCTTTAGGGAGTAGGAGCATAAATGATGTCTGAGCATCATGCATGAGCACAGTAAGAAAAATTAATTACATTACTTCATATTGTTTATTCATTCATTCATTCATGGGTGAAATATCTATCAAGCATCAATTACGTAGAAAATATTGCACTGGGTACTTAACGAAATTCCGATGAGTGAGATAGTCATTGCCCTTAATGAACTCTTATTTTCGTGAGAAGGGCACATATTAACTAGAGTTATAACAAATATATAAATTTATTATTTAATTACAATTGTGTTCAATGCTGCAAAGAAGTATAGAAGTAATGAGAGTGAATAAAAACGAGACTCAACTTAGTATGAAGGATCCTGCATGAGTTAGACTGATTAAATCACATGGGGAGAGGGACAGGACACATGGTAAGAAGCGGAAAGGGAAGGAGGAGACTGGGAACCCAGGAGAAGATACCTGAGCACTGGACACAGAGAATACTAGCATGAAATGAACCCAGAGACAAGAAAGTGACCTATTCATAGACATTCTTGTAAACCTGCAGTTCTCGAAGTATGGCCCACAGAACAGCTTTATCAACATCACTTGGGAACTTGTTGAAAATGCAAATTCCTGGGCTCCACTCCAGACTCTGTGACAAAGGAAAATTGAGAGTCCAGCCCAGCAACATTTTAACAAGTCCTCCAAGAATTCTGATGCATGCTATAGTTTGAGAACCACTGTTGTACACCATGTTTAGGATTTGGGATTTCTTTCTGAGAGTCAAGTGTTTTAAGAAGATGACATAATCAGATGAGAATAAAAAATGCATGCATATATTAATGTATAAATGAAATGACATATGATACAATGACATGTATAGGATATAGAGTTTAAGTAGCTCATAAAAGTTATGATTTCTTAAAATGTTTGATCATGACTTCTTGGCATAAGAAACATGAAAGAGGTGTCATCTGGAGATTCTAAAAAAGAGTGTTTCAGTACACACCCTAAAATCTAGGACATTCTCATAGGGATAAAAACACTCAGGGAAATTAATCCCCCAACAACAGCAGATGCTGACTCATTAGAGGATAGATAATTCTTCCCATCACAAGCGGACAAGAGTTGAGTCACAGAAACAACGAAGTCTTTAAGCCCAACTCATGAATCCCTGAACTGGAATGAAGCCCAGGAAAGTGGGTTTTATAAGGCCAAGGCAGGGCAAGGTTCTAATGGGGTGACTCTATTTTCAAACATTTATTAAATATATTTAATATTACCTTAAAATTTTGGAAATTAGTAATGCTTTTATGTTTAAATAGTGATCAGCTTAAAAAGAATTTTCAAGTAACTGGCATATCCCAATCCTTGAAAAGATTACTATATTATTTTAGCCAATGTCCTACTAATACAACAAATCTCCACAGTGAAAACCTACTTATGAACAAATAGCACCACTTTCCTTCCTCTTTCCTGGTCCTGGCTTAGGCCTTTCATTTTCTTGTCTCATTGTAATTATTCTCATTTTTCTGATCTCTAGAAACCTGTACAAAGATGGAGCAGTCTTCTCTCCTTTCCTGCCACCTTTTTAACTACACTCTGGTGTTTAATACTCTTGCCTGTTTTATTTTTTTGTACCTTTTCTGCTCATGCAGAAAGTCAGTTACTGGAAAAGAAACACTTCCTCTAAAGGCTGCGGTAGTAAATTTACAGTCACCAAAGGGCTGAGAAACCTTCGGTGCGTAGTTCCTTAGGACTACGAGGGCTCTTTCCAAAATGTAGACAGCAACAACAAAACAGGCTCAGGATATTAAAACCGCATACAAATATTTTGTATCCCAAGACGATAACTTCAGATTTCACTCCCCCCTTTTACTTAAAGCAATCAAAGGAAACCTAATTAAAAGCTAGGGAAACTTCACGAGGGCTACTGTATCCTTTTGCCCAAAGAGGCTCATGGATGTTTCTATTAACCACAAATCTAAATCCTTTTACGAAGCCACAGACCTACCCTCCTGCTACAGGGATTATTCACAGTATGAATGTTCTGAATTGTGTGGCCCAGGCGCCCCATGGGCCCAGGAGTCAGGCACACACTGATTTTTGTCTTCAGCTTCACAGATGCTCCATTCAGCAGGAGATGGATTAATTACACTTGGGTACACTGGCCCTGCCACAGGCCCAAAGCTTATATTCCAACTTTTGGTCAGCACCACCAGAAAAAGAAAAAAAAACTGAAGCATTAAGTATCTAAACACTTACATTTTCGAATTGTCTAGAATTAGCTGCATTATTCAAACTCTCAGTTACTGGGTTACATATCATCCGTTTATTATCATAGGTAAGTTCATTACCTATGACATTTTGTTCATCAAACCAGAGACTAGTGGTTTGGGTAAAAGTAGGTAATGTCCTTTCTCTTTGAAAGTGAAATTTCAAATCTGCTTGAAGCCTTGAGATGGAAAAACCAAGCTGCCTTGAAATTTGAAATGCCATCAGCATTACTTCCAAGGCAGGTTGCTTTGAAGAGCATTTGGGAACTTGAAATTGGTTTCAGGTTATTTAAGGGTTGGGAGAAATGCTTCGGTCTATAGGATTTAGTCAAATACAAATGTGTATTTTCCATCCCATCTAATAACATCAAAGATTTCCCATCATTGTTCATCCTTTAATAGTGGCATCTCAAGGATGCATGCTGTTTGAAGTTTGCAGTGATTTACTTTTATAACAGGAATCATTGTGGTTTGGGAGCCAGAGTGTAGAAAAGTAATTAGCATACTATACCAAGAAGTCTTATAATGAGCATGAATATGTACTTGTTAATAGGGAGTTTCAGATGACTTTAGAAATTCAGATATAAATGCAACCCTCTGATTGGATCTTTATGAGGCTATACATGAATATAGCAATAAAATCTGGTACTTGACATTTATGTCTTATCTTTAGCATAATTTTAACTTCTAATAGTGTTGATATCACTAACAGTGTTTTCCTAGAGATTATTATAAAGTGATCAAAATTTGTGATTAATGCTGCTATAAAATTATTTAAAGCAATACCCACATTTCCCCAGAAATATAATCTGCAGTGCTATCAACAAATAGTAAAAGTTCACTAATGTCAAAAATTAACTGTTAAGTTCCAAAAATGTAAAGATGGATCAAGTATCACATCCAAACTTGTGCTATTCATTTATCATGTTTATTAGGTGATACTCAAGTTATGCATCATCTTAAAATTTTTTTAAATGTGTTAACCAAATCTGCATCTTTTAATATCCCATGTATGTTTCACTAAAAAGCATCTTCACCTCATGTTAGTCTCAGGTGTTTCGTGTGCCCCAGTTGTATTTTTCATTCCTCCCAATTACTTAATCTTTCATATGCAAAGGGAAGTTTTGAGACACTTTGTTGTGTAGACCTGGCAATTCTATTTCTTCCAGTACTCGCCCTATGGGGAGAAGAGCTATAGAGGTCACTCGACCAAATCTCATCAGAATATATTCAAATAGTACATGGAAATGTACAAAGCTGCAGGTAAGGATGTTCTGGAATATACTACAACATTTTATTGAATTAGCATGTTTCTCTTTTTCATGCTTTCTCCTAGAGCTCAATCCTATTAGTTTTCACCAATATCTAAAATATGAAACATATCAGTTTGAGATATCTTAATATAAATTTAATCACACAGAATGCTATCATTATTTAAAAGGATGTCATACCATAAAAAATGTCAAGCCATTAGGACTTCCCTGGTGACTCAGAGGGTAAAGCGTCTGCCAGCAATGCGGGAGACCCAGGTTTGATCCATGGGTTGGGAAGATCCCCTGGAGGAGGAAATGACAACCTACTCCAGTACTCTTGCCTGGAGAATCCCATGGACAGATGAGCCTGGTAGGCTACAATCCATGGGGTCGCAAAGAGTTGGACATGACTGAATGACTTCACTTTCACTTTCATACCATAAAAACTGAAAATTATTTTAGTAACTTATAACTCTCACTAAAA